ATGCACTGGCAATTGTTTTAGACGCGAGAGAAGGGGAACAAAGTAACACATGTGACAGAACATCTTATTCTGTCAAAATGTAATAAATATAATCTCAATCTTTATTTTGATCCGATTCGCCCTGTGATCCGATTCGCCTCGGTCTACCCTACGTTGAATAACAAACAACAAAATTGTTCGGTTCAAGAAATGTGTGAAATAAAAAAAAAAAAAAACGCGAAGAATGTCTTAAATCAATTAATTGAACAACCAACCCCGTTAGCGCGGCTCAACTCGTCACGATCTAATTGCATTACTTTTTTTTATCTCGATGACATTCCGTCCGTGACAGATGTACTTCACGTTAAATTAATTTTTGTGGAACGCGTTGGGTAACACGATTACATTGCCTCGACCCGTTTCTTCCTTCACCAAGAACGTGATAATGAGACGTGACGAATGCCGGAGAAGGTTTTGAGAGACGACTCGTCGTCATGAGAATGCGTGAGGAGACAATTCGTCGGAATTAACGGTTAATTGCCTTGAATTGAAAATTTCGCCGCCAATTGACGACGGAATGAGTGCGTTACGAGTGGAAATACGTAGAAAATGTGTCAGAGCGCGTTCGAGAAAACAACGACGACGACGACGACGACGAAAATTCTTTGCTTTTAGCCTTCACGCTCCTTTGTCAACGTAAACTTAAAAAGATCTCGGCCACGGTAATTGTTCGACGCTGCGCAATTCGAGTGTCTTACGTATCGCAATCCACAATGTTATCTTTGCAAACAAAACCACGAATCTGAAAACACTAGGACACGCACTGATGGCGCTGAGATAAAAGCGCGATATTTCAAGCCGTAAGTTACTTCGTCGACAAACGACAACGTCGCAAAGGCGTTTGCCGAACAAATAAATTTCGCGCCCTGGTGTGTCAGAACAAAAAAAAAAAGAAGTTCAATAAATGTTTTGTTCAGTCCGAACGTTCTTCCCGCCGAATGTGTGGCTGTTGAAAAACGTCAGCGAACGGTCGACAGATCGAATTTAGCCGTCGGGCGAAAATTTTTTCCGCTAATTACTCGAAAAATTCCAAACCGCGGGAAACGAGATAGTCAAATGACGACTCTCGGCAATAAAGGTTTCTCTGCGCGCGCGCGCGGTTGCTCGTGTCATAACACGACACTCAACAATGACATCTCGACTATTACGAGACGGCACTTGCGCGGCCCGTACCCTACCACTTGCGAGTTTCTTAATGACTCGGAATGCCGGGCCGCGAAGGGAGTGAAAGTCTCGCGCGCGCGCGCGCGCGGGGGTTCTTCAGTCTTGAAGCGCAACACGCCACGCGCTCGATGACTCGCGAAGGTTGAGACGCGAGAGACGCGTTTTTTCTCAGTCTCCCTCGCTCGCCGATATTTATCGGACGTATTTGCGGAGCGCGCGTCACAGGTGCGCGACAAATAGCGATGTCTCCCCCTCCCCCGTCCCGCGCCCCGAGAGGGAATAAATTCAGATAATAATTATCGAACCGTCTGTTATTAATTAGAAGAGGGAGAAGAGATCGCTGAACTCGGCCGAGAGAGATCCCGATAATACAATGAATAGAAGAAGCGGTACACCAGCTGCGCGCGGTTCATCAAAGTTAAAATCTCTCGGCGCGAGAGAGAGAGAGAGAAAGAAACTTACATTATTAGTTACATAAATACACATTTAGAATTTTTCTACGATCGCACACGCGGATCCTTTCCGACTTCGCAATCCGACGCGCGTGTTTTCAACTGTCCGAGTGAACACGATGCGCATCCATCACTCGCGCGCGATGATAAACGACCGGAGGGAACAAACGCAAAAGTGATACGCCGCGATAGTTCGTTCTCGATACGGCAAAATAAAAAAAAAAGTACTCGCAAGAGAGAGAGAGAGAGAGAGAGAGAGAGAGAGAGAGAGAAATCGAGGATCCATAAATATATCGCCGCGCAACAACGCTAATGAAGTCGCGACATTATATCCGCGCAATCGCGAGAGGGGACTTGTAACGACTTGAAATTCCTGCTTTTACGCGAACCGCGCCACAGCCGTTCGATAGCAACGAACGGCGGCGGCGAGCCAATAATAACGATAATGACATTACTTCATGTTTCGCGTCGTGTAATGTCCGTTGTAAATTCGTTCCCAAGTCGGATCGTCGCGCGCGACGATAAAACAATCGGAGTCTCATGTAACATCGGACAAATAACCATTGTCAGTGGTTAATAGCGGACGGTAAGTGGCTTCACGAACCAAGTATCGAGAGAGAGGCTGCGGCTGCGGAGGCTGCGACGAGAAGAGCCGACGAGCGACCGGCCGGGGAGGAGGATAATTCAACCACGCGCGCGCGCGCGCGCGCGGCGAGAAGCCGGTTTTCCGCGGCGGCCTATCACGAAACTCGCGCGCGCGAAGGTACGACGAACCGGCGGGATGAGTCACGGCGGGGCTCGTACCTCCTCGTCGTCCCACTCTCTTTCTGTCGCGCCGAGGTCGCGGCGAGGGAAACGAAAGGAGCCCAGCCAGGAGAGCGCACAGCGCCGAACGGTGTGTTCTGCGAAGAGGAGAAAAGGTGGCACACAGGAAACGCAGGGAGAAGAAGATCGCGAGATCTCGACGACTACGCGCGCGAGTAGTCGTCGCCTACGCGCGCGCTAGCCAGCGCAAGTTCTCCTCTCGTCGAGAACTTGCGAGATAAGAGACGGAGAGGAGCTCGCTCGAAAATGTATGCGAGAGTGAGAGAAATGCGCGAAAGAAACGCGCGCGGAGAAAGGAAAGGCGCGAGAGGAGCTCTCGCCAGCCGTCCGCTACTTATTATACATCCGCTGGCAAGTGGATTTATTGCGAGCGGCTGCAGCCGCGCCCGGCCGGCCGGCCGGAAAGAGCAGCAGCGGAGAGAGCCTCGAGAGATTCATCGCCGCCTCGGGACAATTAAGTTCTCGGTGAGCTCTCGATGCTCGGCAGGTTGATAATGCAATCGGCGGAGAAAAACAAAAACAAAAAAAAAACAAAACAACGTCGGGAAGTATCGTCATCAACGCCGCGTTACCGTCGGATCTTCCCGCAATTCGTCGCGAAACTTCTCTTTTTTTTTTTTTTTCAATCACAATCGCGAAAAATATTTCTGTTTAAATAAATTCGAGTAAAACGCGCGGAGAGCGAGACGTTTAATATATTCCAAGGCGCAAACTGCGTATAATACGCTCGTTAATCATTCGTTGCTCGGTCGAACCGATTGCGGTCCAATTAAGCTTCCGATGAAGTCTTGATGTATTCCACCGCGCGGAGACGCGGAGAGAGAAAGAGAGAGAGTCGCCGATCTATATCGCCCCCGATATAATCGCGCTGATCGAGGTATAAAGCGCACGTAACGTGGAATAGCTTGTTAAGCCGCTCGACGAAGATTAATAATAACGTCTTCAAAGTGAGCACCGTCATTCAACCAGGGGGAGAGGGAGGAGGAGAGGGAGGGGTGGAAAGGGTTCCGTGAAAGGCACCGTCGCGCCGTTGTAATGGCCAACGCCGCCGTCGCCAGCGTCAACGGCGAAGCCTTGTATAACGCGCGCGCAGCTGCACAATACTTCGTCATACTTCCTCTCCGCGCGCGCGCGCGCGCGCGACATCGAGGAAAGGATATCACGACGATATCCCTTCGTTCGTTCGAATATTAAACACACATCACGGAGAAATCCTCGGGCGCGCGCCTGATGAACAACATTGTTATTAAACGCGCGTGTGTCCCCGGCGTCCGTCATTTTTATCGCATAAATCTCCGATAATCTCCGCGAACCGCCTTCGAGATTTAACGAACGTCTCCAAACGGGACCAATTATAAGCGAAGAGGCGACCCTCGATCCGTGACGGGATACATCGCGTGGCCCCAAGCGCGATTATCCTTCCCGCGCGCCCGATATTCACCGGGCACGAACTTTCAAGGGAACGCAAAGCACACGCTCGATCGAGCAACACGGTCGTTATCGCGGGATAGGACTTTTTCGATCGACGCGATCGAAAAAAAAAAAAAAAAGATCGAGGAAGTCGGGAACGGGGTCGATCGGGTATAACGCGATTACGTATCGCCACCTTGTCCTAAAACTCGTTCGGGCTGGTGATGTATGTTGCGATATTGTGTTGCGCGCGAGGGTCAATCGGCCATAACGCCGCGTTTCCATCCAAGCGTGTTAACGGCGGTAATATCTGTGATAAATTTCACGCGCGACTCGATTTTTTCTCTCGATGTATAAATCACCCGGATGGGGGGTGAAATTAGGCTCGTTCGATCAGTCGGTGTCCATTACGTCAGCGGTAAACGGTGGTGCTTCGATGTGCCAGGCCGCACGTCGAACGTGAACTTCGACGATATCTCTCTCCGGCGGAGAGCGCGCTGATGTTTTCGACGCGGCGAGGTTGTTGACAAATAACTCGTCGTCGGTGTCGATAGCAAGCGCGTCAAGGCGGAGTGGGGCTTGTATATAATTTATCGATAGTAATGTTGACGCACACAAATGTTGCGAAGAGCAGCGCAATTAGCTCGGACAATATTAAATAACCGATACACGTAATTACATTTATCACGAAACACACAAACAGAGACACGCGCGGTATAGATATATATTGTGAAATTCGAGAGAAGCGAAATTATCCAATTATGGATCATTTTGTGAGTTAAATTGCGAGTTAACGTTCGAGAAAAATGTTTTTCGCGCAACTCGTCGGAAAAAAAGAAAAACAAATACACACGCTCGCGCGCGAATATAATCTCGCTGTTTCGAAAAAAACAAATTGAGAGAAACAAATTGCGAAACTGCGCGCAACAGGACGCAAGAGACAAAAAAAAAAAAACAAACAAACAGTTTAAACAAAAAAAAAGAAGCATTCTCTGTTTACTTTCAAGAAAACGCGTTGTTTTCGGTCGCGCGTCCATTAGAGTTGGAACACAACAAAATTGTAACGACACGAACTCTCTCTGCTGCTGTTCTTCTTCTCTTTCGACTTACCTCAGCAAGCGGCTCCTCCTTGGTAACGTCTCCGTTCTTGGGCGTATCTTCGCGGCTCGGCTTGGTCTTGTCCTTCTTGCTGAAGCTGATCGACCTGAAGGACCACTTTTTCTTCTGGAAATCGGGAAAACGCGACATAATCTCGCAAGCGATTGTACTCGTACCGCGATTCGCGGAAGCGAAAACGTCTGCATTAGAGCGCAAGTGCACCGTGAATGTAACACGTTTTTGCAACACCAATACAAGATATGACGTGATATGACGCGGCGGGAAAATTAAATAAAGAGAGTTGACGCGCGGTTTCATCGGGTTCTTTGAACCGGCGAGGGCGGATTACGATACGTTATAAATCGCCTTACCTTATCCTTCTTTTTGGCCTCCTTATTGTCTGGAGAGGTTGTGGTGTTGGGACTGGCAGGGGTGGCCTCTGTGGGCGTCGTGACCTCTGCAGCCTCCGCGGGAGAGTCCCCGGACGATTCCGGCTTCGTCTCTTCGGCTTTTACCTCCTCTTGTTGTGGCTGAAAAACACAGAGACACAAAACTCAAATCGAATTTTCGCTCTCTCTCTCTCAGTGACGCAAACACATTATCCGACGTAGTTTTTGTTATTAAAAATAAATACGTAGTTTTGTTAAAACGCGTCGCGTAAACACGTAAATGAGTTCTTCGCGTTTTAACAATTTTCGTGTTTTAACAATTTAAATAAAAACAAACAAGGTCCGACAAAATAAATATTTATCTGAAACACTACCATTGGAAATGGATTATCTTAACCTACTGTGCAAGCAATCTTTTATGTATGGCAAACATTCATAAAAATGCACAGTGGAGACCGCGAAGGGGGAGAGGGAAACGAGAAAAGCGCTCGTAAAAACGAGCACGGTATCATACGCGAATATGTATGTACTCCGTGTCGTAAATTGTAAATCCTATATCGTAAATCGATGCGCGCAAGCCAAGCAACGCCACAATGTACAACTTCCCGCGTAGGATAAACACTTCCGAGTTCGCGCGTGTTTTATGCGAAACGATAGCGCCCGCGCTTGACGGTCGGCTCTTACAAACGCGCTTCTATGCTTTTGCTTTCGCAACGCGCCCGAGATATCGGTTAATTCTACGCGTTCAAACAAATTGCACTCTTATTACTCTCCCCGCTTTGATATTTCGCTGCTTAATAATATAGCGATTTTATCGTTCTGTTTTGTGCGCAGTTTCAAAGAATATTATATTCCAGTGAATTGCGCGCAACGAATCTCATGATACGCGGAAAACGAAGTTTTGCTATCGTATAGTTAGCAAGAAGAATTGGTTGAATTTTTTTTGTCTCGACAAAACGTTTTTCTCACAATAGCAAGATTTTTCGACACGTTTTTCGAAACGCATTAGCGAACGATCGAGATAGTTTTTCAACAATTATCGGCGTCTTTTTCCAATCAAGAAAATTTTGTTTTTGTAAAATTTTACATTTTGCAAACTTTAAGCAAAATAAAAAATACTCAGCTTTTATTTTTCTCTTATATATTGTTTTTTACACTGGCTTGTTATCTTTTGATTATCTTGCGCTTTAACGGACATAGAGCTTTTAATAATCAATCAATCAATCAACAAATGTAATTTGTAAAATTGTACGAAAACTAAATTTTCTTGATTGAACAAAGAAGCTGATTCGAGCAGAAAATTTTTTTAATCGGCTCTAACTCTAATAATAAAAACCGTCTCGACTGTTCGCTAATTTATTTCGAAAACTATATTTAAAAAAATCTTGTTGACTTATGAGAAAAAACTTGAAAGCGATACTCCCTTCTCCACCTCGAAAATCTCGATTTTCGCAAACTGCAGTTAGACAAAACCGTTTGCACAAACAAGCTTTACCCGTGCAAGCGCGTACATGTTCCCTTAACGATACTCTCTTGGATACTCGTTGAAAGTTTCTCATCTTCGCGCGCAAGTGCAGTGTGTTCGAGAATAGAGTCGCTTAACTCTTTCCCATCGTGGAGCCCCGAGGCCCATCACTTCTAAATAATATCAAACTTCCGTGAAACGGGTTAGCTTTCCCGGAAAGTGTACAGTGTGTGCGCGCGAGATTCGCGCGCGAGGCGCTTCTTTGTCTTCTCGGTCTTTGAAAAGCCTCTCTCTCAACAAGCTCACTCTCGACATCGCCGGTAAGCTACTCTCGCTCTTGCGAAGTACGCCGCTTAAACTCGCGAAGAAAAGCGCGGGTCGACGACAACTCTTCTTCTACGCGAAAAGTCAACCGAAGTTGATTAGAGACTTCGAGTGCCGTGCGGCCGAAAGCATAAAACTGATCGCATTATCTCCGGAGTAATTTCCGTTGCAACCGATCGAGTAAAAACTATTGTAAAAAAAAAAAAACGTAAAAAAAAATATTGGGTTACGTAAACGATCACCGATTTGTGAACTACAATTTGTTTTCTTTCTCACTTTTATCTTAGTTAAAACACCACGTGTACCTACATTTTTCAATTAAAAAAAATCCTTTAAAATTTTTTAAAACTTCGCACATTTCCAAAACTTAATTTAATTTTTACTCAATCGCGATCGATAAAATCGCGGCAGCTGCAAATGTCGTTCGAAGTCGATTGAAAAGCCGACGAGTTTGTCGCAAGTGACGAGCGAACAAACAGCGAGCTACTTTGTTATCAATGCAAATGCACGAGAGAACAATTCCAACAGCGTTTAACCAACACGAATGCGCAAACACGTACGCGCGCAACACAATCCGCGGTGATAAAGTCCACGGCGTCGCTTAAGAACGATATAAATCCGACGTGGGCGCTATATGGCGGATTTCCTGATTTACAATGAACCGAGTAGAGAAAGGCGCGCGCGCGCGCGCGCGACGCGTCACATTCGATTACAAGTAAACGTTTGCAAAACGTTTTCCTCTCATCTTCTCCCATCCTCGCGCGCAACAATTTCGTCCCTCGGCGAGGCAAGCGCGACGAATCTTCCGCGCGCATTATATTATGTAAATATCGGTTTAGTTTTAGTATTCACAACAGGAAACACGCAACGACACGCGAAGCGCATCGCGCGCGGTTTCTAGCGCGAAATATGAGCGAGTTGAGAAAAAAAACAATGTGTCTGAGAGAAGAATATTTTTTTTTTTTAAACGACGTACAATGGCACAAACGTACACACAGAAAAATGCATACTGTATCAAGTATATAATAAGTTTATATATCCGCAAATATATTATAAGATTTTCGTAAGTATTTAATTTACTCAAAATACAAATTTACTAAGATTTAGAGTGTATTTTGAGTAAATTAAATACTTACAAGAATCTTATAATATATTTGCGGATATATAAACTTATTATATACTTGGATACAGTATGTTTTTCTGTGTGTAACGACTTTACGTAAAGACCCCGGGCTCGTGTTGTTCATAAAAATCCAACGCGAGGAGAAAGAGCGAAGACAATACGAAGTCATTTGTTGCGACAAACAATTTGCCAAGTCAAATGAGCGGAATATAATTGAGAGAGACCAAAGGTGAAACAACAAATTCTGTTATCGCTCGGTGTTCGTGAACGAAGACAATTAAAAATCGAGAAACGATGTTTGCGCCACATGTAACGATCAGATGTAACGAGGTTTTTGTTTTTTTTTTGTTTTTTTTTTTTTCAGCATGAATATTGCATTCGACGTAAAACGAAATAATGGATTAAAAATTCCGTTCGCGCAGATCGCGTTCTGCTGAAAGCGCGCAGAAGCAAAATGATAATGAACGTCTCACCGAGAGGCCTGTCATGTCGGAATTCAGAGGCCATGCGAGTTTATCATTAATTAATATTCAAAGATACGCGGTGTGCGCGCGTGTATGCAGCAACCTTGCGACCGCGCGATACTGAAAGAAAGAATCCGCGGGACGCAATTTCACACACGACCGAAGGTCGACCGTGTACGAGATTTTCACAATAAATTCCTCAGCGCTGCAAACACACACACACACACACACACATATCTGCTTTGCATGCGTAGTTCTATAACAAATTCCCGTGTGTTGAGTAATCGCTCGGCGCGCGATCACGCTCGAATCCGCGATTTTACCCGAACGATATATACCGCTTGCCGTGAAAACTCCGCGCAAAACGAGAATTACACGCACCGCGGCGTTTCAACTGCATGAGAACAGTCGGCCGAAGAATTTATGTCCGCGTTTAATCGAGAGATCGAGCGTCGAAGCGAAAAGCCGCGAACGGCGTTGTAACTTCGCAACGCGCGAGTGAAAATTCGTAGGAAATCGAACGGGTTGGAGATTAATTAAATAAAGCACGGGCTCTCATCCTCGAGTTATGCTAGGCGCGGATGATTCATCAACGCGCGCCGTGCTGAGATATCGCGTGTTCGCGCGGAAATTATTAATTACACGTGAAATACTTGTCTTGATTTCCGTTATGATACGTTCGCGGCTGATTCATCGCCGCCGAGTCCGATAGGCGGGATCGATTATTATTATTTTTTTTTTGTCTCGCAATTTTACGCTAATCCCGTCCAGTGTAATGTACTTTAATATCAGTATATTACGATCTACAAGTTAATTACGGAAATCGGATAGATGTGCAAACTCGACGAGTACAAAGCGGTCTGTAATTACATCCGTCGACTCCGAGACGATTTGCCACACTCATTTATAAAATCTCAACTGTTTAAAGCGTCCCGTTCAACGGCCCTCTCTCTTCGTGCGCGAAATAAATTTTTTGCCGAACTTAATTGCGCATCTGTTAAAATTGTCTCTGAATCGATAATCTGCTTATAAAAAAATTTATAGGAGCGCAAAAAACAATTTTTTCAGCGCTTCTATAAATATGTACTAATAATAAAAAAGTTATCTACCTTGGAATATTTTTTATTCATAAAATAAATTTCTATCTTTCTCTCTTTTTTTTTTCTATTTAATATTCGTGCCACTTAATCTCTCGAATCATTCAAGGCGATGATTTACAATTATTTGATCAAGGTAGCAGATCAGGTATAAGTTTTTGTTACTAGTTTTTATATTATACTAGCACAACACAGGCGCACGCTATTATTGTTTTTATTTTAACGTGTTGTGTCGGTGAACACCTGTAATCGCGATGACAGCTAGTATATACGTCTTACAAATTATATAATACACATTAGAAATGTCAGAAATAACGCATGAAAATCAAAATAAAAAAATAGTAAGAGGAAAGAGTGGAAAAACAACAACGACTAAACCACTAAACGACTAAAGTCACGTGACTTTACTTTAGTCACGTTTTTAAAGACACGTGACTTTAGTCAATTATAAGGGAATTTCTTTGTAATAGTATGCATAGACACCGAAGAAGATCCTATAGTGGATCGAAACGTCAAATCTTTGAATAAAGAAAAATTTTACCCGAACATCAGATGCTTCATTGCCTTCTCCCTATCTTTTTATTGGAATAATAACGTTTCTGCGAACGTGAATTTCTCACTTCGAAATTTTATCGTCGCACATCTCCATATTAGAAGCACAAACAAAA